TCGACTGTTCGTCGCAAATCGGCGATCTCGTCAGATGAGTTTGATTGTATGTGAGATACGGAGTGCGTCCTAGTTCGCTCGTAAATTCTATCGGCTATATCTGCTAGCCTATCAAAATCGATATCCTCGTCTCCGATTGCTAGTATCTGTTGGATGTTTTGTGGTAGACGTCTGAGCCACAATTGATAAAATAGACGTTTATCTACTGTACGATTCCCCAATAAATTTGTCATGTGGCGTTTTAATTGAGATGGTGTACTGTCACCTAGCTCTACATTAGCTAAAAGTTGATCAATTGTTTGCTGGTCGGTGAGTGATGTAACACGAATGACCTCTCTTTTTAGACAATCGTATGGTGAGTCTGGATCCGGTTTAAAAATGACGTCAGACACTTGTTCTATAACATCGTCTGGCAGCAATGAGTTTGCATAACTAAATTTTGTGTTCTGATTTGTGATTCTGTTTGCAACAAAAAAGCTTTCTAAGCGTGCAAACCACAGTTCGGCCTTTCGGGGATTAAAGACAGGTAAAGGTACAGAGATGGCACCCACGGAAATAGACTTAGATGAAAGGCTTGGTGAATTATCAAGTGACATGATACGAAGAAATAATAACAATAGCAATAATAATAAGCTGAGGATTGAAATATATGATATGAATAAGTCCAAAATAACAACAAGAAATATATATGAGACTCACCGAAAACAAAGGTCACTTTGAGTTTAAATAGGCAAATATAAAGTAGTAATTCCAAAGCAACAATGTTATAGATGAATTTACTGATTGTCAATGTATTGTTAATAATTGCAATAGTAATTCCAATATGAAGTTCTTTATGATTGGAGAATATGCAGCAGACTTTGTAGAGAAACAGGCGCGTGTTCTAAATGCGGCTCACCAGTTTGTAGAGGTTAACCAAGTTTGTTGAGATAAATTTCCTCTATATTCGACTCCAAATAAAGATATCTCATTAACCGAGTATTTAATACAGGCTTAATCTCCTAGTAGAATTATCGATTTACTCGAGATCATTAAAAAGCCCAAAAATCAGTTATAGAGATAGTTTATTGTGAAAGCTTGGTAAAGTCCGCAAGCATACAGCAAGCAAGCACCGAGTGAGTCAAAAATCAAAGTGGTGTGTGTCTGTGTTAAAAGATCCATATATATATTTGTGAGTATCAATCAAGTGTAGATAAATTATTGATTATCTATGTGTCACAACCAATGGGGAATAGAATAGGGATAGAAGTGCAGACACACGCTCAATCATACTCATATGGAAATTAACACAGTTGTGTAGACAAATAATACATTAATGGAATGGGCTTGCTACAATCCCATCTAACTGGTCACAATCACTTATCGTCCCAATATTTAAGAAAGGGTCAAAATCATCCTGTGACAACCACAGAGGGATTACTTTAACTAATATAATATCTAAAATACTAGCTTCGATAATTTTCGGACGCCTAACTAAGACTCGTGAGCTGCAAACACGTGAAAATCAGGCTGGCTTCAGACCTGGTCGTGGCTGCATCGACCACATATTCACCATTCGTCAGGTTCTAGAACACAGGCATACTTATCGGCGTCCGACAATAGTGGTCTTCCTTGATTTAAAAGCAGCGTTTGACTCTGTTGACCGAGAGGTTCTGTGGCAGTGTCTGTCATTGAAAGGCGTACCTCAGAAGTACATAAACCTTGTGAAAGCTCTTTACTCCAACACTACTAGTTGGGTCAGAGCCTATGGCGAACTGTCATCTGCTTTTACAACCTCAAGTGGGGTCCGTCAAGGCTGTCCACTTTCTCCTTTTTTGTTTAACTTTATCATAGACATCCTGATGGAAATAACGCTCTCATCGACTGAATTCTCGCGTAAGTGCATGACACAACTAAGTTATGTCATTCTGGGTCGTTTGAGGCTTTTCTTTGACTGAAAAAACCTCGGCGTTAGAAGATTTGGTGCTTTCGAGGATACGGTCGGCAGATGCAGCCAGCTCGTCTACGGCGTTGTTTTGGAACGAGACCAGCACAGCTTGCACCTGTTGAGGAAGTTTTGATAAGAAAAGCTGTTTGAATAGGCCATCATCGAAGGTTCTTTGGCCAATAACTTCTCTCATTCTTCTCAACATGTCTGTGGCAGAGCCGTGTTGCAGGTCGATGTTATTAAGGAGTTGGTCTAACATTTGCCGATCGGTTAGATCTCCGCGTTTAAGGATGGCCTGTTTTAACGTTTGGTATGGGTCAGAAACATCACTAGTAAACATACTAGGTGTTAAGCACGTGTTGAATTCGCGCGGTAGTGTCTTGACTACTATGAGGAATTTTGCACGTGTATCGTTTACACCGTGCTCGTAGATGTCGACTTCTGCGTAGCCAAACCAAGCTTCGATTTTGTCTGGCCAGAAGGGCATAAGTTGGAAGGAAGGTGAGGACACAGTCTTTAATTTAAATACTTTAGGTGTCTATTTAGTCACAGTAATATATCAAGTACGAAAATGAACGAGTGGGAAATATATATATATATATCCAAAAACACGTGGAAAAAAAATCACAATGTATAAAAAAATTAAAATAAGACAATGAGACATAAAATCCCAAAACGGAACAGACTCACAGTTTGCAATTCGGTGTACCAAATCACGTCGGGCTCACCAATGAAGATGCCGGGTATTCGGAGTTTGACAACGCTTTAACCAGTAACACCTAATATGGAGCGCACCCACCAAGTAAAATCAAAAGACAGAAGCGAGGAGATCGAAGATATATTTGATAAGCTATCATATATCGAGGATCGTATGCACTAATCTGGCTAGAAATTGCGGCAGATGTTGAGCACGGCGTTCCCACACGTGATCTGGTGCGGATGCTTGACCAAGCGCCTTCAGCTAGATGAGTCCACTAAAACTGTGGCGAGCATCGAATGTCGAAAACTTACAGAGCTATTTAATTTTGGGGAATTATTTACCACTACAAGGTTTTCCGGAGTAGGTATCATCACCAAGGTTTGATTCGATAGTTTCGAATAAATTGTGTATTCGGTAGATTTTTATAAATAAATTAAAATTTGGTAATTTATTCTCTGAAGAAGTGGCTTACACTAAATCACGAAACGTCAGAAAATCTAATTTTTCTACTCATGTGGAAATTAAAAATATATTATTTATAGGTTCTATACAGTTGAGAAGAATATTGAGCTGGTATTAAAGAAGGAAAAGGAAAAGATACGGGAGAAACGAGGGCAAGAAGCTTGAAATATGTATATAACTTCATAAGAGTGTTTGTAAAAACAGAATAAAAATAAATAATGATGTGTGAACTGGTAAATTGATAAAAAATAAGAAATAAACAAGTAGGGAAACAAATCATTACTGCAGTAAAACTTCTTTTTGTATGGGTCATATATGCATGATGAAGATAAAATGAATCTGAAAAGTTTATTTATTTAAGTGTAACGAAGATAATATGTTTTTAGTTATAAACTTTGTATGTTTATGAACAAAATATGTTTAGGAGGAGAAGGGGGAGTGGGAGGAAAAAGAAAGGAAGAAAAACTATTTATTTTGTTAGGAGGTCAATCACAATAATAATAACATTAATAATCATAAATATGAATATTGGCAGACTTCGGTTATTTGGATGAAAAGTTAAAAAACAATGGGGTAAACGAGCAGAATTTCGAAGATTCCACTTTACTTTACGGCTAATTAGATAATATTGGATCATGTTTGCACAAATCATTGGTAGCCACACCAGTATTTACTAGATGACACCGCTGTCAGAAAGGAAGTCATCAAGTAGATATTTGAACAGGGTGATAGTCTCACCAAAACGGAGGTTTCCTGGGATCCTGTTCCGAATGGTTGAATAGTGAACAATGGAGAATTTCTGGTGTAAGTTCGTGTAGGTTCTCGGAATCGGTACAGCAACTTTTTAATGAGTAGGTCACGGGGTGATACGACAGATTATGGAGGGATGGATGCCCAAGAGTGAGAAATACAACATAAAGGCCAGCAGATAAAGATAAGGTTTGATTTAATGTGCCTTATCCATAGAAGTTCTAACTTGAGTTGTTGACATTTTTGTTGGTAATCCTTGTCGTCTTAATACCCCAATACATCCTCGGTGAATATTATTTCCAAAAGAATGTTCAATTACTTTCATTGAATATCTGAATCAAATACCATACCCAAACAAATTTCTTGAAATATTCAGAAGCTGACATATCCCTATAGACTCATGGCAGATGATTGCGTTGGTCCTTTTGTATCTCTGTACATCACCAACATGGGAGATCAGTGCCGAATACTGAGTGACTACTTGATTTGGATGGGAATGGTGTGACCTTCTGACCTACGTCCAAGCCACACCTCACGTTTAATATATGACGTGAGTTAACCTTACATCATATCCAGATTCTTTGGCTACCTTGATAACCATAAATCACAAAAGCCATAATTAAATGAATATATTATCAAGATTAAGCACAAGGAACGGGGTGCAACCACTACAACAATAACCAGTCTGTGGAGTGAAAATGATTGATGTGCGTTAGTTGTACATAACCTTGTTCGATATTGAGTGATCCAACTACCGGATGATTTTGCAAGGGTTCAGTGACACTTTACTGGTCCAATACTCCTTTTATTTCAACCAATTTAATACATCTAGACAACTAAATGGAGGCGCCGACTACTTTTTGCTACTAGATAAGGGAGCTCGTCAGATAGAAGGTTTTCTATACCACCTAAAACTATTACCAAATATCCCAAACTTTACAGAAACAACGAGAAACGAGTGCGAAAAGACGAATCCGTTTATACAAGCTCGCGACAAAGATACTGGATTTGATTCATTTGAACCAATGTGGCCAAGTGACGTAAAAATATGACTGGTAGTAACCAAAGAATTTAGAAACACTTCTTTGCATTAATAAGTGAACCCTATGGAATTAACTACTTTGCACTAGCTCGTTACTAAGATATTGCATCTTGACTTAAAAGAAAGCGGGTCATGTGTCCTTCCAAGGCTCCCGCAAAGTTCAACTTTATGAGATGCAAGTTGGGACTGCAACGTCGGTTCTAAATCCTACGTCGGAATATTTGAATAGTCAAGGAACATGGGTCACGTATATTTTGGTGATTCTGGTAGTGCACTTTATTTTACTATGCGTCCCACTCTTCACTACCGCTGTTGTTTGGACGTTGACCTGTACTTTTCACAATGTTGTATGTTCTTATCATTTGTAATTACCTACCATCTAAAGTTAATTTATGCGCTATTACTTTTATTTATAATACCATACACGGCTAAGAGTTCTTTGTCATTATCATAAAGCAATTTGAGGCACACTGGGTCGAGTATTAATATTAAAACCACTAACTAGTTCCAATGTGTTATTATTCAGTATTAGTCTTAAATCATGAAAGCTATCATGGTACTTTGCCGTGAGTCGTGTATAATTTCACACTCATTTTTACTTCGTCCATGGACATTAATTGCATTTATCGAACCCTTGAACTTGTAGATTCTTATAGTTTATTTGGAATTACTGACTATACTTGTGGTTGAAATACATATCGCACTAGTATTTTACAGTCCTAGATGCATAGTGTGAGACCCAAGCACTAGTTTTTCTGATACTGTGATAAAATTACGTATATCTCTATATTACTCCTCAACAAGGTGTTGTTTCGAAATTCACTGAAGTATTGTTTCGTTTACACATCTTTGCAATACCCTTAAAATCTCTTACTTATCGCTTACTATTGGTACCAAAGTAATCACTATAACCACGGAGTGTGCACCTCCACATTACCATTTTGTGAGTAAAATTTTTATATCTAAAGATGATAATATACTCCATCACAGTTCAGATTTACGTAATTGGCTTCAAGCCTCATATACATTTTATCTAATGATACTTCTGGACTACGCAAGACGCAGTGGTAAACCGAAAGCCCAGACTTACGATTTATTCGTTGAGAGCTGAGTGATTTGATCAAGCCATGTTTTCTCAAGACTGCTTCATTTCACTAAGTCCTTAAAATACATGCTATCCGGTGGCTTAACAGATAAATCTGAACTATTAAAACCCGATTTCATCGGTAAAATCCAATTTTACGTAAGGATGTGCTTTTTTAAAACCTTCCTTTCTAAATATCTCATTTCAACAGTTACAAGCAAGATTGTTGAGTATTTTTGTCATCTTTAAAAATCACTACTATTGTTCAAGTTCCTGTACAGCTGTGGTAACTAAAGCATTTGATTCTTTACATACTTTAACTGCCCATAACCTTATCATTTTCCAACTGGTTTTTTAATGTGACTTATAATAACAGACAAACGGAGTCAAAATAACAGATTCTCTTAAATACCAAATCTTAAACTACCTCAGTTTGTCTGAAGTTCCTGTCGCAATATTCTTGCTGCCAACAGTGGCAGGATTTATATACGGCAAAATATGTCAGTAAAATTTCCGTTTTTCAATCCCTTTTACATTGGGCAATAGTCGTCTCTCTTTAGTCACTAAAATCCTGCATTTTGTAACGGATTCCCCACTACCTGCGTATCTTAATAATTGGTGATGGAAATCTATCACTAAAACCTTTCAAACTGTTGTGAAGTAGTTAATAACCTTTGGCTAAGAACCACAAAATGTTCAAATGAACGCCGACTATGGAACTTTTATGCGTTGTACGTAGTTATTTCCCTTCAATATTTTGCATATCTTACCTAGCTCTTACTCGTTAAATGAAGAAATCGATTTTAGGGGGAGGGCTATGTGGGATTCCTAAATACAACTTAAGAAGAAGAATATTGATATTGATTTAAGATGAACTTTTGTTACACTAATTTTTTTTTCAATGTGAGTTGTGCTTATGGGTACTCAGTGCATTTTCCCTCATGATTTTTGTTCGTTGACAATTACACAATTTATAAGCTATGATCATTGTAATCAGTGTATAACCAATTATCTTAAACATTGTTTGAATTCTACTAGGTTCAGACCAATAAACTTTCTGTACAACAACTAGAATTCTCACTGCAGCTAACGTGATAGTGAAGAGAACGATAATAGTAGTCTCGTTCACCCTATTAGAGTTGAAGTTGCGAAGTAGTAGCTTAACACAGAAATATTCGTCTAGTTCACCAATAAGCATTTGGGACCTATTATCCAGACATAACTACCTAACATATCTTAATCACCAAGTAGTGGATACGGAGGGTCCGCCTAGGGGAGTTGGAAAACCCTCATTTCAAACCTTTGGTGCACATGGGCTCTAGGATCCTGAAGGAACAAATGGCATACGAACCAATTACTGGTCACCAGCTATCATGGAACTGCATCTCCTTACGTTGCTTGACTGTCTTGTGAACCAAACCTTTAGGTCCAAGGCTTCGGATATGGCCTCCTAGGAAAATCACTTGCTTCGGTCTGGGTACCTGGGCAGTATCACAGCCCATTCATAAATCAAGTGACTTGTGTGGCACATATGTATTCGGTGCCCTTTTATACCAATATTTGTGTTCAAATAAATAAATAAAGTGATAGCTTCCATGCCAATGATAAATGTGGGATTATTCATATGTTTTAGAGGTCCGTTTCCGTAGTTTACTCAGTAAAACATTTGTTTTGTTGCCTAAAAATGTGTAATCCCCATGTGCCTCAAGTTTTGCTTCGACGTCAATCGTGATATCTGCTAGAATATTCTCAAATTATATCTGAGTCAATGTTATTCCAATCTTGCCGTATCCTATAAATATATTTACTTCGTATCACTTTATTCTCAGGTTATGTATCGTTTGTTACACTGGGAGAAAGGAAGTCCGTATGAAACATTAGATCAAGGAGAATCTCGTGTTCTCACTCAATGGGAGCAGTTTGACGATGGTGAACAATTTTCACCGACAAAGAAATTCCTCTTAGTTGTCCCGATTGTTTTGTAAGTCCCAGTTACAACTTCCCCATGTAATTCCGCTTATTTCTTCATACCAATAGTTGAGACTCTTTTTGTTGTTGATAAAATTCATTTTAAATTTTGTTAAAGCAGAGGCGACAAAATGTTAGTGTATTACACACAACATGGCAGCTGACACGGATTTGTATTGGTTCAATTTAACACATCGCGCGTAGAAATTGATAAAATGAGAAACAGTGGTGAGAACAACACTATGCTATTGGATTGTTACATAGATGGAGTGAATAGACGCAACATGATATCATTCAGATTCTTGCAAACTGATTTCTACCAGTCGTAAAACTATGAGCCAAGTGCACATCGTGATATTCACAACTTATACATAGTCATTACCCAGTTCTTTGATTCCTTTTCATATGTATTATCAAGATTCATTTGTAAACGTAGATGACAAAATTTATTTGCGGTCACTTATTTTTATCTTGGATGTTAATTTCTGTTATGCTGTGACTTTGTATTTAAAGCACTTAACTCTTAACCACTAAATTACGCCTGTTACCCCTGGTAGATGAACATAAGCCGCCCACCAGCATTCTCCATCGAATTCTGTCCTGGACAATCCTTTACAGATGCTCTTCATCCTTTTCATGTCTTCTTCCGATTTCCGACGTAGTGTGTTCTTAGGCCTTCCTCTTTTCCGTTTCTCTTCAGGATTCCAAGTTAGCACTTGCCTCGTGATTCAGTTTGATGATTTCCTCAATGTATGTCCTATCCACTTCCAACGTCTTTTGCTGATTTCCTCCTCAGATGGAAGTTGGTTTGCTCTCTCTCTCTCACAGTAGGATGTTACTGATGGTATCCGGACAACGGATATTGAATATCTTGTGTAGACAATTTTTTTAAATACTTGTACATTTTCGATGATGGTTGTGGTAATTATCCAAGTCTCAGCTCCATATAGTAGAACTATCTTCACGTTCATATTAAAGATTCTGATTTTGATATTGGTTGACAAACAGTTGTTTTGAGTTCCATATGTTTTCCAATTGTAGAAATGCTGCCCTAATTTTGCCAACCCTTACGTTTACGTCTGTATAGGTGATCCTGACCAGGTACGTCTGATGGTCATGCCGATCTCTTCAGTTGTTGGTGGGCTAACGTCGATTGGTAGGCCCGTGGGTGCTGCTTTAATGTTGGGTGTGTTCAGTGAGACTTATCGATTCAAGAGTTCTTTGAAGTGTTCTATCCACCTGTTTCGCAGTTCTTAAATGTTGGTGATTACTTCGCCTTCCTTGTTTTTCACTAATCGTTCTGGTTTACGATAATTTCCAGCGAGTTTCTTTGTTGTATCATACAATTGTCTCATGTTTCTTTCTCCTGCAGCCTTTTCTGCCGTCATTGCTAGATCTTCCACATATTTACGTTTGTCGGTTCTGATGCTCCTCTTCACTTGCTTGTTTACTTCTGTGTATTCAGCTTGTGCCTTGGTTTTCTCTGCTCTTGTTCGGCTGGTATTGATTTCTGTCTTCTTGTTCCTCCTTTCTTGAATCATATCCAGTGTATCAACAGTGATCCATTCCTTTTGATGGTGCTTCTTGTGACTATGAACCTCATGATATGTTGAAGTGATTGCCTCCTTTACCCCTTTCCAGTTGCTCTCCATAGTAGTTCCCTCTCCATTGAGTAGATCGTGAAAGGCCTGGAGTCTATTGCTGAGGGCTATCCTGAATTTGTTGAGTTTGTCAGTATCCCGAAGAAAAGCCGTATTCAGCTTTTTTGATGTTGTCCGCCCCATTGTCAAGTATTTCTTGAGTTTCAATTTTATCTTTGCGAACAGCAAGTGATGATCTGATACCATATCGGCTCCTCTCTTGGTTCTCACATCCTCTATCGTCCTCCTAAACTTTTTGTTGATGCAGATATGGTCGACTTGGTTCCGTGTAGTGTGATCCGGTGAAGTCCATGTGGCTTTGTGTATACGTTTATGTGGGAATATAGTGCCGTCTATGACCAGTTTATTGAAGGCACATAGGTTTGCAGATATCACCATTTTCGTTTGTTTCTCCTAGTCCATGTCCTCCCATGATGTGCTCATATCCGGTGTTGTCCATTGCAACCTTGGCATTTAGGTCTCCCATCAGGATGGTGAGGTCATTTGTTGGGCACTTCTCGACGATTGACTGTAGCCTATCGTAGAACTGATCTTTAACGTCTTCATTGTAGTCGTTGGTAGGCGCGTAGCATTGGATGACGTTCATTGTAATGCCCTTTTTCTTTGTTTTGAATGAGGCTTTGATGATCCTTGGTCCGTGAGATTCCCATCCTATAAGTGCGTTTTGTGTTTGTTTGGACAGCATCAATGCTACTTCGTGTGTATGTGGGGCATTTTCTTCTTCATGGCCAGAGTATAACAACAGCTTCCCCGAAGCTAGTCGTTGTTGTCCAACTTGCGTCCAATGTGTTGCACTGATTCCAAGCACCTCCAGGTTGTATCTCTTCGTTTCTGCAGCAATTTGGAAGACTCTCCTGGTCTCCCACATTGTATGAGCATTCCACGTACCTAAATAAATGGTTGCTCTGATTGTCAGAAGAGGCATCAGCCTTGTGACTTCCGAAGGGACTCGGCTTTCACTATGAGGCGTCATAACTCTTCTGAATGAAGAGCTTCTAACTCCCAGGACAGAGTTTAAATGGCTTGAATTATTTTTTATGGGTAGCGATTTTTTATCGAGTTAGTTTTCTACGGGATGGGGTCTCTAACCCCATGCCTAACTTTCCTTTATCTGGGCTTGGGACCGGCAGTAGCCAAAGAAGGGCTCCAGGCAGTCAGTCAATAACAACGTGGAACTTCGTACGTACGTACATCAGTTCGAGTTGCCACACCACATTAGCACAGAGATTCAGTTATCGATTCAAATCCCGTAGTGGTAGAGGTAGTGAAAGTATAAGTAGTGATAGCGAACATTAAGGTTTGATGATGTTATTTAAGGAGTATAGTCCAGTGGAAGAGATTTGGAAAGAAAATAAGGGACATAAAGAATTCAGAAGATTAGAGTTTGAGAGAACACAGAGAGTGGATGCATCAGCGCTATTGCAAACGATTTTGAGCCATGTCATTCAAGGTCCCTAACCATCGGTTACTATCATCTCGCGGTCCCCAACCAGGTAGTCTACACCCACCAACATGGCTCAGTCCACTTGTCAGTGACTTCATGGATTTGTGCCATGTTTTGGTCTGGCCGCCCCTAGCTTTCTTCCAACCTATTCCTACACCATAAAACATCGCACGTCGTGGCAGTCAGTGGTCGGGCATGCGCAATACATGTCCCAGCCATCTCAACTGATGAAGTTTCACTACATCATCAATTGATTTGCCACCCTTACCTAGTACCCGTTTCCTAACAACTGAGTTGCTTACTCGATGGTCCCAGGATATACGAGCAATGTTTCGAAGACATCTATGATCAAATACTAGTAACCTACGAATATCCTCTACTTTTACTGGCCATGTTTCACTACTATAAAGTAGGACGGAACGAACTGCTGCGCAGTAAACTCGTCCTTTGGTTACTAGACGGATATCTCGCCTACGCCACAAATGACGCACGTTGGAAAAAGCTAGTCGAGCCTTTTGTATCCGTGATGAGATTTCGTCACACACCAGACCACAAGGGCTGATGAGACTTCCAAGATAAGTGAAGCGGTCGACACGCTCAACTACTTCACTCCCTATCACTAGTTCGGGTGTCGATGCAACCCAATCCTGAAGCAACATTTTGCATTTCGAGGGAGAGAGTTGCATGCCGAACATGCCTGCATTGTTGCTTAGAGTGGTCAGCAGACTCTGCATTTTCTCAGCGTCTTCACCAAATAGAACTATGTCATCGACATACTCTAAGTCAAAAAGTGAATCTTTCGGTAGAAGTTCAACCCCTGGAAAGTCAGATGTGGAAAGTGTTCTAAAAGCATGTCAACGACAAAGTTAAACAATAATGTAGAGAGTGGACAGCCCTGACGAACACCACTTGAGGTAATCAGCTCTGATGACAATTCGCCATAAGCTCTCCCTCAGTCAGTTGTGTTCGAGTAGAGAGCCTTTATAAGGTTAATGTACTTCTTCGGTACTCCTTTCAGTGACAAACACTGCCATTGAACCTCACGATCAACAGAGTCAAATGCCGCCTTAAGGTCGAGAAATACTACCATTGTGGGGCGTCTGAATGTGTGTCTATGTTCTAGGATCTGACGTAGTGTGAATATCTGATCTATACAACCACGTCCAAGTCGAAAACCAGCCTGGTTTTCTCTAGTCTGCTCTTCACGAGCTTTGGTTAGACGTCGAAGTATTATTGAAGCTAATATTTTAGACACTATATTAGTCAAACTAATTCCTCTGTGATTGTCACAGGAGGACTTTTGTCCTTTCTTATAGACTGGAACAATCAGTGATTGAGACCAGTCAGATGGGATTACGTCCAGTTCCCAGATTCTACCTAAGACCTCAGTCAATCTCGCTGCTAATACTGGACCGCCATCCTTAAAAATCTCAGGGGGTAAACCTGTCAGGGCCTGCTGCTCTCCCATACTTCAGATTTCCTATAGCTTTTTCAACTTCTTAAAGAGTCGGAGGACTTACATTAACTTGCCATTCAGGTAGATTGGAGATCGTGGGAAACCAAAGTGTGGCTGAAGGTAAGCTGAACTGATCCCTAAAGTGTTATGCCCATCGATCCAATCTCCCGGATTGAGAATGGATAATATGTTCATCTTTCTCTGAGATTGTTTCGCTAACAGTTGGGTTCCTAATACCGGTTTCCTTAACAAGTCTGAACAGTTGCCTGCTGTTACCTATTGCCGCTGCCTTTTCCATCTCTCTTTCGCTGCTCACCATTGTTCACGATCATTGCGGAGGCTTCTAGTCAGCTTACGCTTAAGCTGACTCCGCTCTTCGTCATGTTCAGAGCCAGATGGAATGAGTTTCCGAGCATCTATCAGGGCAGTAGACGCTGCAGAGATCCAGTGTTTCTCCCTAACCTTAACTTGCAGACATCACTTCTGTTTCTACAGCTTTTCGGATGTCATTCCACACTGCCTCGGGGCGGGCATCACTTACATGGCTGCCTAACTGTTTTTCTAGTTGTTCCTGAAATATACTCTTAGCTTAACTATCATTAAGTAGGACTCTAAGGGGTTTCCTTGCACCATCTTTCCTACGCCCAGTAAGACGTAGACAAATACGCGCTCGCACTAGAGCATGATCTGAGTCTAAGCATGTGTTCCAGAATGAGCGACAGTCTTCTATTGAGCCCCTCCATCGGTGGCTGATAGCGATGTGATTTATTCGGGTCCAGCGTTGGGACGAATTAGGGGGTCGCCATGTTCAAAGATGTTTTTCCTTATGCTTAAAGTTAGTGTTTGCAAGAAACAGGCGGTTATCTGAGCATAGCTGCAACAGACGGTCGCCGTTATCTGTTCTTTGAGCCGCGACACCATAAGATCCACTCAGGTGTCTTTCCCTTTCGCTTAGTTTACCTACTTGAGCATTCAAGTCACTAGCCACTATTACTACATCTGAACGCCTAGCTTTTCGGAGAAGGTCGGAAAGCTTTCTGTAAAACTCATCTTTTACATCATCTGAGCTGCAGTCAGTGGGACAGTAGGCAGAGACGACAAACAGGCAACGACGAGTGTCCCTAACTTTCCGAGTCCTTACTGTTCCGTTTAGTCGAACAGCGCACAAACAACTGTCTACTGGGATCCAGCCTAAGAGAGCTAGTTCTGCCCTAGGACTCAATGTTATACCTACGCGAGCAAGGCCACGGGAAGCAGCATCAGGGCTTCCAGACACACGAAGCGTAAATCGAGTTGGTTTGTTACTTTGACATGGTGCGGTCAAATGAATGACACTACTTGGATCCTGTATGCGCGTTTCGGAGACGCAACACACATCGATGGAGCGAGATTCTAAAGTCTTAGCTAAGCAAGCCTGTTGTCCTATTTGACACAGTGTTCGGACGTTGAAAGCTCCTACGTGTAGTTTAGAGCGTAGTTTCAGGAGACCAGGAATAACGTTCCGCGTACTCGAATCGTTCGCACTAGCGGGGCGAGGTGATAAAGGGACGTGAGAAGGGTTAGTTGTGTAGATAAGAGAGTTATTAGGAGGTGTAGGAAGGATTTGAATGTGACCAACTTGGTTTCGTGTGTTGTTACGGGTATGGTGGCTGATGTCACTTTCCGGTTGCCCACACCGTGGAAGGGTATTTCTTGGGGGACCTGAAAAGGAAATCGGATTAGTGTTGGTCTTAGCGACCTGAGTGCGTGACCGCAGAGCCCAAGGGACAACTGCTTGAGGCCGGTCGCGCACGCCCTTTTTGTGGGAGGTTTTTAATGTGTTAGCTCCGTTCTTCAAAGGGCCTTACCGCCGGAGACGGAAATCCGTGGGGTAAGGTGAGGTGTGACATTTTTAGGGTCAACCTTTTCTAACCCCTTCCTTCCTTGTGAGAAGGCAGCATCGCTGCAGATGCTGGTTGTCCGAGGGAAACACCTTACTGCTGTCACACCTCTGTACAGTCAGCAGTACGACTTGGCCCTCAGACCTTGAGTTGCTGCTTTTAGTCTCCAGGCGGATTTACGTTACTCCGTAACGTAAGAAAGTTAATTTCACTGGTTGTTTTTGTCATTAAATATTATTGCAGCTCAATATTTAGTTCTAAAATTGTGTCAAAAAGTTTGTTTTAAAAAATGCAAATCAGTGATCCTGTTCAAAATCATGCATCATATCATAAGTCTTACTTAGCTTGTGCGTAAAGCAAGTGACTTATTGTTTGGAGCACTCGATGTTCAGGAACATTATCACAGACAAAGTACTACTGTTCCTACTTCACTCTGGACTGCTAGATAGTGTAACCCAACGCTAAACACACGAACTTGTAACTGGATATTGAGCTACGTTAAATTTATGCTACATAAATTCTTAGTCATAATTTAACTTCTGAGGATATCAGCCGGTTATACAAGCCCGATCTAAGGAATAAAAATTAAGAGGATAGATTTTCGATATTTGTATGTTCAGTAGGAGTTATCATAAAATGTTGATCGTCCTTCTCTTAAGTAGTCGGTAATTGTGAACGATTCTGAAGTGTATGATAAGTCTTGAGATTTTGAACGCTAACTCGATTCCTAAGCTATTTCTTGAAGACCCCCAAGCTAGAACTATACAGCGACCTGAACACGAGAGAGAAGGCGCAAAGTATGCGAGAAGTACTTTACTTCAAGGTTCGTTTTTGTACAGAAAAACACGGGTATTTATAGATGTTAACATTTGTTAAATCAACATCATATCTTGGCCAATCCGCTAAAAGACATATTATGCTACTGACCAATAGTAGCACGCCACGTTGGCATTCTAGAAAGCTCCATCGTGCTCTGATTGGCTAAGACTCTTCGGCTCCTTCAGGGCCTCCTGAGGCTCTGTCGCAATTCTCGGAAAACCGACTTAACAGTGTACGACAGGTTTTGCCTACAATTCGCTTAGAAACTGTTATGTTTCGACTGTTGTTAGGATAACATTCGTAAACAATAATCAGGCGACTGAAGTCAGTCTTTTAAGATAGTGACGCTAGTTTAATTGCCAACATCTCTGAATACACGTAGCGGACCGGGATATTACTGACACAGTATACCATGGATACTAGCAATCCTTCGGATACAACGATCACCGGGCACATTGAGTCACAGAATATCTCCGGCCTGGAGAGACAATCATGATAATAACAAGAAGGAAAATAGGACTTGCCCTATTATCACCTATGTAAATATAAATGTACAAATAAAATCGTAAATGAAGATTACCATTAACTCACACGATCTGTTTAACTTGCATATAGGTCCGTAAAAGAAAAAAATCTATACAGGTTATTGGAATATCTTCTATTTAGTGAAGCAAGTGAGAGAGTATAAAACAACTTAAGTAATTTTCAAGAAGCAAAATAAACACGTTCTCAACAAACTTTTTTCTAAGTACATACAAATGCATTACTGATAACATTTCGTTTGCATTAAATATCCAACTCAATATGTTTTATGTGAACCGTTTATATATGTATGTAAAGTTTTAATGCCTTCATATAGATGATTAATAAATTACATTTTCTCAGTCACTTGAACATTTTCCCTTCATATGATGGTGGTTGGAGGTAGTCGACTGGAAACTCTGGACCTGGGTTTCATGCTATTTGACACTCGTCAGCAAGGTGTACTTATAATCTTAAGGGAACTGATGCTCCCTGACGGATTCGATCCCGTGTCACTCAGCTTCGCAGTCAGAGACGTTATCGCTGGGTTATCTGGGCCGCGACTGACCTGTAGAACTGAGATGTATTTACAGTTGATTGATCACTGGATGGTGATCAATGTCATGTGTGTCAGGGGAAAAATAAACTATTTCAAAATAGGCATTGTCTTTCAGACCAACTTTTTTAACTTTTTAGAATTTGGTTTACCTACAAATATCTGAATATGGGCTTTACTTATAGATTACTATCAATCCAGACTATCCAGTATCTACATTTTAGACAAATGAGAACTTCGGGTTTTTTTCCAGTGTTTGTCTGTTTTTAATGCGATTAGCACATTCATCGAAAATGATCATAGTCATCTCGAAAAGAGCATTCACGCCTATGCACCAAACAATTATTACGCAAAATTTAAAATACGAGTAACACAGTTACACTTATAAGATAGATAATATTTTATCGATTGCTCGTCCATACAATAAAAAAAAATCGTAAACAACAAATTTCAATCAAATAAGGTCAATGGTGACTGTGTTAACATAATTATCTGGGTGATTTGGTTATAAAACTTATCTAACAAATACACTTAAGCGCCTTCAATACTCCCTCTTAATTCATTGATTTACTAACTAGTAGGACAGTAGTAGTGTTCACTTACTCACATTTTATTCTCAAGAGGTCATTTTGTAAAAATACGATAATGTATATCCAGACTACTTTTTGTATTTGTCTGTTATTATTACCATTATATATTGTAAAGGTTAAACTGCTTACTATTTTGGCAATGTTATTTTATAAGGTGAACAACACATTAAAACTATGCTTTAATAGAAGATTAAGTCTTTTTTTTAAAGAAAACGTATAAAGACCAATAAATGGCTTTTGTTTGTTCTATAAATCATCATCGTCAATAGGAAATTCTAAAACAGTAAGGTTTTTTTTAACATAAAAATAACTCATTTCACAGATATAGCCTGTCTAAACTATGTGCTAATGATCGAATAGTTCAACTTTCAACCAGGTGCCTGCAGGTTCAACTCTCTCAGTCAATCAATCGTTATAACTGACTGACGCTCTCTCTCTACCTGGCTGCTTTAATTGAAACAAGCTGATAGATATTATTAAGTCTTTGTTTATGCACACGTGAAAAGTGTGCTTTAAAATTGAACTACACTAATTCTTGTATGTAAATCGCACATTAAATAGTAATCACTATCAGAATGTGTCTGGATTTTATCGGTCAAATACATAGCTCAGTTTTATGTATAAACGTATTTCCTACGTGACCCTCTCAGTTGCTTTTAAGCCTTTGTTTTTTTGCAATTCTTATTTGTAGGTTCTTACTTGCAAGTTTCTACACAGAATACGACCCTCTTCATTGTTTTATCAACGCATCGTCAATGATTGTTCTAGCCGTACTTCCTAAGTTGCCTCAGTTTTATAGGGTTCGTTTTTTTGGTATCAATCGTTGGTAGTCCCATCTTTTCTTATGCTCACATCCTTATATTCATAAAAACAATAATAGTAACAATTAAATTACATTCGATGTTTTGTTTGCTCCTCTGTATTCGGTTTATTGTATTACAGTTGGAAGAGAGAAAAAAGGACATTTCACCCCTTCCACTTCAAAAAGTCCACAGATATGAGATAGTAATTGTCGACTTCTCTCTTTTTGCTTTGTGATATTGTGTTCAACCCTTCGTACATACACTTATGTAATATCTTACCAAAAAATGTTCTTAAGATATGTACCCTGGGTATGTGTTTTTCCACTTTAAAAAAGTTTTTTTACTACCATTCCTCAAGTTTCCAATTAATATTTGTATCTTTATATTAAGCTGTGGATGTGTTTTTTCCTTTCTATCTATGTATCGAATTCACTTCTAATTGGAATATAATTATTATTAGTAGTATAATGGTTTCATGGTATGTAATCAGTGACAGTTAACCTTAAGAAAGAGTCAATATGTAACTCTATAACTTAGTTTTATTCATCGGTGAAAAGTAGTATTTTAACTTCTAGATGTTGCACATTGTGTCTATCCATTTAGTTATTGATTAATTAATGTTAAGTACTCCCCAGTTCAATGTATTGAACTTTTCAGATAGTTAAAGTAACCCATAGTGTCATTGAATAGGAAAAAGAGAATTCAGCGAAGAAAATTTTCTTTTCGACGAAATCATTTACTTAAGCTGTACATTCGTATATATACTTATATGGAAAATATATGTCTATAGGAGGATAGAAAAAAAATTGCATCACCAAAATGGATTTGAGAATAAATAACAAATGAGGTTGCGTACTAATCAAGGGGTAAGGACGAAAATCATTTATGGGTCAGATAATAGTTCAATTGACAAATGAAGAAAAGCGACAACCACAAAGGTCATAATAATGGACTGAATAATAATCAATAAAACAAGGTAATAATAATAACTGATTCGAGTTCAAAATGCAAAACAGTAATTTAAAAACTTCGATAATAGTTAAGTAAAGGTGCAGAAAAACAAAAAAAAAGTAACATACCCATTAAGGGAATAAAGGCCAAGGAAAAATGAGAGGTTGGACAAGTCGTTTCTGCACGCAGAGTTCGGGCTTTAGTTCGCGGATCGCCAATACCTCAGCAGTGCATAAAATATTGACTCGACCCCCAGCCCTTTGATCCAGTTCCTTTGACTCTGTAGATTACTTTCAAAGAAGAGTCCTTTGGAGCGATGTGTCCACAGTTAATTAAATGCTCTTGTTCACCGGCTAGATTAGTTGTGCAATTATTGTTGGTACACAATAAAAACTTCATCCCTATTCTAGCCTTCTTCCCTTGCGTTGAACTGTATCAATCTTTGTTCCATTAAAACAGGTATTTGTTTTTCCACGGTTATAACAAGTAGATATATCAACGTTTTGTCTATTTACATCGACCTATTTCAATTATAATTCAAGTCCTTATCTTTCCTTACTGATGATTGTTACTAATTAATGCTCTTTAAGCAACATAAAGCACCTAGGTACTTTTACGAAAAAAAAGACAAATGAATGGTACTATATTTCTGATGATTCAAATATGCAAGGAAATACTTCACTGTGTTCTTGTTAGCGATTATTAAAATTGGACTGTAAACCAACGCATATGTTGTAATTACAGTGGTACATAATATCATAGTGTTCAGCGCATCCTGGTTCCCATTGTTTGTTTAGCGAAAATCTTCACAGACCTATAGTAGCATTTCGGGGTCATGTACACACAAGTGACTGAATCGTCTATCTGATATGACGTGATGTGGTCGCTGTATTATGTTAAATACCGTTCAAGTATCCAATCTAACTTATACTACAGAGAAAGAAAATTTCAAACCATCCGTTATATCACTTAACTAAGACCATTTGATTGTTGTACATGTGAATCAATCCCAGATGGGTCACATGTGTTAATTACACATATCAATACATATTCATCTGATAACTTGAACAATGATCTTGTGTATTCTGACGTGAAAAGCAGAACTAGTGATTCTTTGGTACTTGATGACTGCCTAATTTTGAATTCTAAATACAATACGTTCGATTTGGCTTTAATTGCGCTAATTCGGAGATTCCTAGTTTGTATAATAACCCAACTACTAATTACCAAAAAACCTCAAAATAAAGGATTTAGTACTAATAACAACGCCAATAACTATTGAACAAGTGCAGTATTTGCGTGAACGTCAGGAAAAACAGTGTAAGTCCGTATCCTGGAAATCTAAACGCAACAACCGAACATTAATAACAGAGGAACGACTAATGATTCGCGTAATCCACATGCCGATTCTATCATTACTTCTATTAATGAATTTCATTTGGATGGTTTTGTTGGTAATATATACAAATCCTGATTCAATAAACATGTGGGTTTGTTCAGGGTTGACCACAATAATCTTGATGACATTACCAAAGTCAGAATACTCCTAAGAAAACTTGGCGTGGTTGAATATGAAAGTTACAGTAATTTTATCCATTCAATGAACCTAAGAGATTGTAGCGGTAAATAAATCCCCAAAATAAATAGCTCTGTAAGTTTTCGACGTTGGATGCTGGTCACAGTTTTAATGGACTGTGGTGTTTGAATGAGATAATGATTTCTTTGTACTTGTTGAATGCCTGATTTGGAATTCTAAATACAATACATTCCTTAGTGCTTGTGTAGTACTTCTTGATTCGATTGCGTTATTTCTGTGATTCTTAGTTCATACTATAATTCAATTACTCCTAATTATCATATTGGCGTCGCGATGGAGCCTGCGATGGAACAGTTAGATATTCATTCAACTTCTGAAGCTTTTGAGGACTATTTGGAAAGGTTTGAAATCTGGAGCATGACCAAGAAAGATGATGAGGATATTAATATTGTGGCACATTTTCTCACATCCATCGGAAAAGAAGCATATAGCTTATTAAAAATTTTGGCTTTACCGGAAAAGCCCATTTCTCTTTCTTATACAACTCTCAAGGAACTACTTCTGGACTATGTTAAGTATACAAATACCGAATGCAGTAAAAAGCGATTTCGTAAAATGATTCATGATGATATAAAAAGTTCCACTACATTACGTCAACCCATCCCAGTGCATACTCAAGGTTATGCAGATAATTCATTGAGGAGTTGCAATGCAGTTCACGAAGATGGGCACACGTTTGGTCAATGGTTGTCCTGTGGCAGGTTCCACTCTTTTAATTCATGTAAATTTCGTAATTCTAAGTGCTTTAAATGTGATGATGTTGGACATATTCACTCAGTTTGTAATTCTGATCCTAATAAGTTGAGTATTTATAATGATCATTTATCTTTGTCAATGATTTCAAAAGACAATTCAGAGTTGTATAGCAGTTCAGAGTTAAATGAAACTCAGAATCCTTGCGAGAAAACAATTTCTAATGAATCAACATATCATATTTCTCATGTTATTGTACCAGATATGATTTTTCCTAATGATTCACATATTTCTGATGAAATTTCTTACAAATCTGTTGAGAATATTTCGGATGAACCTAATCATGATCGAAAATCTGATGTAGTTTTGATTGATGCTGATTTTTCTAATGATCCTTTACTCTGCGATGACATTCTTAATAAATTTGAGGAAACTATTTCAGAAGAATCAAATCTTGATGTCATATCAAATATTATTTGTCCTCATGATGCATTTGTTTCTTGTGAGAAACTTGTTCGATGCGAAGCACGAGTATTAAATGAGTTAGAGTTTGATTACAATTCAGATAATTCCATATCAACTGTTGTTTGTCCTTATCATAAATTCACTTCAAATGTTTACTCTAGTCAAATTGAGAAAGATATTTTAAATGAAGCCACATTATTCATAGCTTGGGGATATGATGATCCGACATTATTTCGTGGGGGTGGATAGTCTATGGTTCATATCCTAGGTAGTAGTTTCAGTATTCAACTGGCATGGTGATTGTTCACAATCCCAGAAATCAAGTGAGTCTGTTCCGATTTCCGTTATTAATTCTAATACTAATGAGTGCATCCTAGATAATACAGAGTCTTTATCCAATACACTGTTGGACAGACACAGGATGAAATTAAGAAGAAGACGTGCAATCAATTACAGACACCTGGACTCCAATTTAAGCTGTGGCGGATGTGGTGTTTGAATGAGATAATGATTTCTTTGTACTTGTTGAATGCCTGATTTGGAATTCTAAATACAATACATTCCTTAGTGCTTGTGTAGTACTTCTTGATTCGATTGCGTTATTTCTGTGATTCTTAGTTCATACCATAATTATCATATGGACTCACCTAGTTGAAGGCGCTCGGTCAAGCATCCGTACCAGATCACGTGTGGGAACGCCGTGCTCAACATCTGCCGCAATCTCTAGCCAGATTATTGCATACGATCCTCGATATATTGATAGCTTATCAAATATATCTTCGATCTCCTCGCTTCTGTCTTTTGATTTTACTTGGTGGGTGCGCTCCATATTAGAAGGTGTTACTGGTCAAAGCGTTGTCAAACTCCGAATACCCGGCATCTTCATTGGTGAGCCCGACGTGATTTGGTACAGCGAATTGCAAACTGTGAGTCTGTTCCGTTTTGGGATTTTATATATCATTGTCTTATTTTAATTTTTTTATACATTGTGATTTTTTTTCCACGTGTTTTTGGATATATATATATATATATATATATATATATATATATATTTCCCACTCGTTCATTTTCGTACTTGATATATTACTATGACTGAACAGACACCTAAAGTATTTAAATTAAAGACTGTGTCCCCACCTTCCTTCCAGCTTATGCCTTTCTGGCCAGACAAAATCGAAGCTTGGTTTGGCTACGCAGAAGTCGACATCTACGAGCACGGTGTAAACGATACACGTGCACAATTCTTCACAGTAATCAAGACACTACCGCGCGAATTCAACACGTACTTAACACCTAGTATGTTTACTAGTGATGTTTCTGACCCATACCAGACGTTAAAACAGACCATCCTTAAACGCGGAGATCTAACCGATCGGCAAAGGTTAGACCAACTCCTTAATAACATCGACCTGCAACACGGCTCTGCCACAGACATGTTGAGAAGAATGAGAGAAGTTATTGGCCAAAGAACCTTCGATGATGGCCTATTCAAACAGCTTTTCTTATCAAAACTTCCTCAACAGGTGCAAGCTGTGCTGGTCTCGTTCCAAAACAACGCCGTAGACGAGCTGGCTGCATCTGCCGACCGTATCCTCGAAAGCACCAAATCTTCTAACGCCGAGGTTTTTTCAGTCAAAGAAAAGCCTCAAACGACTCAGAATGACATAACAGAGTTGTGTCATGCACTTACGCGTTATCTCAAACTCCGTAACGACCGTAAACAGTCCCACACCCCGCGAAAAAGCACATCACGTAGGCGATCTGTCTCTAGACCTCGAGAGACGGATAATCCTGACTGGTGCTGATATCATAACCAGTATGGAAAATCCTCCAGAAATTTCAGAAAACCCTGCAATTTTCCCAACACAAAATCTCTTAGTTTAAAGGAAGACCGACGCCATTGTGATCGATTCTGAGCCATGTCACCAAGAGTCTCCAACCATTGGTTACGATAGTCACGCGGACCCCAACCAGGCGGTCTGAATCTCCCAACATGGCTCAGAACAGAAGCTAGTGACTTCAAGCACTGATGCCACGTTTTGGTTTGGCCACCCCTAACTTTCTTCCAATTATCCCCTACACTAGTCAGCATTGCGCGTCGTGGTAATCTGTGTTCAGGCATACGCAGCACGTGGCCCAACCATCTCAGTCGATGAAGGTTCATAACCTCATCAACTGATTTACCATCGTTCCCTAATACCCTGCGTCTAACCTCACTATTACTTACCAGGTGATCCCAGCAGATACCCGCAATATTTCTAAGGCACCTGTGGTCAAATACTAGTAACTTACGAATATCTTATACTCTCAAAGGCCATGTTTCGCAGCCGTATAGAAGGACGGAACGAACTGCCGCGCAGTATACTCGTCCCTTAATTGATAGACGGATATCTCGCCTGCGCCATATATGACGTAAGTTGGAAAAGGCTAAACGAGCTTTTCAAATCCTTGCTGAGATTTCGTCAGACACCAACCCATTAGGGCTGATCAGACTTCCAAGATAAGTGAAGTTGTCAACGCGTTCGACTACTTCACTCCCTATCCTTAGTTCAGGTGTTGATGCAGGCCAGTCCTGAAGCAACAAGTTGCATTTAGAGGGAGAGAAGCGCATCCCAAACATTCTAGCATTGT